AGGTGGGGGTGGGGAGTGGGTGGGGAGAGATTAATCAAAGAATTTATATGCATATATGGGTAACCCATGGACACAGACAATAGTGCAGTGAAGGCCTAGGGAGGGGTCAGGAGCAGGGTGGAGGGGGTCAATGGGGAAAAAATGGGGACATCTGTAATACTTTCAACAATAAAGATAAATATTTTAAAAATAATAATTAAATTAAAATGAGGTCATATGGGTGGGCCCTAATTCAGTATGGCTGGTGTCCTTACAAGGAGACAAAACTGGACACAGTAACAGAAAGAGGGAGGAGGTCATCTGCAAGACAAGGCGAGAGGCCTCAGGAGAAACCAAACCTGAGGACACCTTGATCTTGAACTTCCAACCTCCAGAACTGTGAGAAAATGCATTTCTGTCGTTTAAGCCCCCAGTCTATAGTACTTTGTCATGGCCGCGCTAACAAACTGATATAGTTGGGAGCCAGAGGTTTGCCTCATGCATCACTGTGCTTTGGGCTATCAGGAGCTCTTCTCAGTCCAGAGGCCTTGTAAAGGGCAGTAGGGAGCAAAGCTCTACAGGACAGAACAGCAGAGGGAAGGGACCCTTCTGCCCAGAATCTGGCGGTTACAGGGTTACTTATGCAATAGAGTCAGCCAGCACCACAGCTTCTCACTAAATTAAGTCATACAGGTATTTCAATGTGCACAGCCCTGCAACAAAGAGCAATTCTAGGAGTCCTTGCAAAAGGTACTGTTCCAGCAGAATTGTCTCTAAAAAACATTCTCTGTGGGGTCATTTCTCCTCCTTTATTGCCACTATAAAACTGATGATTCTTTTTCCTACCCTGGAAAAATCTCTCAAGTCACTATTTCTCATTGAGAAAGGGATTAATGTGGTGGTCATTACCTTTCCTGCGGAGTGTGACCTGTACCAGATACTCCCTGAGAATTCACACAGTGTGTTGGCTTTCAGAACATTGCAGAGCTTTTCTGGGACTCTTATTTCTTCTTTCCTATGCCCCCCACTCTCTCCTACCACAACCCCACAGTCATAGATAGGTCCTGGAGACGATGAAATTGGACTTCAATAATTGGTGCCGCTGCTATTCTGTTAAACTTTAACATGCAAGGCGTCAGTCCTATAAAAAAATTATTTATAATAAATAGGTCCCACTTATACCATTGTGATGAGCTAGTTATTAATAATAGGAAAGGAGCAAAGGGGGAAGCCAGACATTATAAGTACGGCCATTTGGGCAGCTTTACCAGGAAGCTGCCACTTTGTACTCCCGAGGAAACCACTGTCCATTCCCTGCAGATTACTGGGGGGTTGGACACTGGACAAAGGGGAGATGAATGAATGCACAGTGAGTTGGGGTGACAAAGGGAAGGTGCCTGTCAGTCAAACTTGGGAACAGAAATCATTGGCCAGAGGGGGCAGGGCACTGCAAGCCCAAGAAAATTTAGGGATACATAATCCCCTAACAAAGAAGCTCTTGGTTCTTGGCTCTTTTGTGGCTCCCTTGCATTCACCTGTGTGACTCACAGCCATGTGGATCCCACATTCAGTGAACTGATGGACTACAGAGGAAAACACAAACTAAGCTAGCCTGATGCTGAATTGGACTATGCCCTAACATGGAGTGAAAACTCTGGATAACGGCGCTAATTCTAGCCCTACTGAAGTCATAG